ACTACACCGATCGCTGTTGCATGGCAATACATTTCTACAAGAGCACTTAACCAACTTCAAAATTCCCTTCAGTACTCATCCTTGTAGAAACTGTGAAGCAGTGGATCTTAATCTGGTGGGTCAGAGTTCATTGAATGCTTCCAAATACAGGTTTGAAGGTGAGCTCGCTTAAGGTTTTCTTTGCTGAATTTGTTGGTGGTAGTGTGCACAGATTCGGCAATTGAGTTGTTGCACTTCGAACTTGTCAGCCCCCATTTTGACACGAGCTTCAGAAGTTGTGTTACAAATAGATACACCATAACATGCAGACATAAACTTTGATGAAATAAATGTATTTCTTCAACCGATGATAAGGAGTGTCCATTTTTCAAAACCTTAATTACTTTAATCTTCCGTAATCCATAACACATTGCAGTGGTATCACATCCAGTGATAGCATGAGCTGCAAGCACATCAGGTATTATTTTATTTTGTTTGACGTTTGACGACAGATGCACTAATGTCAATTCTTGAGCAACCCTGAACAGGTGATTCCATCAGAATAGTTACAAAAACGTTTTCAAGTTTGCAGAAGTAAAGAAGGAAAAACATCTGTGTTATCTGATAAAACAACGATCTGCTTGTCTTCATCATCAGCAGCTAATATAACTTGATGTACAATAATCGTATCTGCTTCTTCTTAAGTATTTCTTAGATCATGCATTTTTTTTACTTCTCCTCGATAAATCTCGTAGGGTTCTTCTTGTGGACCTTTTACAATAAGTCTGAGTTTGGTAATATAGCCTTTGTTAAAAGATTCGTCTCTAATAATGCTTCTGCAAACCAGTTAAATTAATCTTGTTTTGTTTTCATTTGAGCCCAAAATGTCCCTACATATAGGCAGAGGTGTTGTATATGTGAGTGTGTGAACTCATGTCACTCCTGAGATCTACACAATCTTGTGTGATCCTTAGTACTATACTGCTTGTCACCGATCAAAAGCAGGTTCACATTTCCGTATTGCAAAGGTTTGCTTATATATGATTTAAGTGAATTTATGAAGTCCTGAACACTACCCTTTTCTGGTCACTGCACACACCATAAAAGTGCAGATCCATCAATCACAATAAGTGTGTTTCCAATGCACGTCTTTCTTGTTGAGGACGAAACCTGGAGAAGTTTCTTTACAGTAGATTTAGCTTTGCAGATCCTAATTCCTAATTTCTCCAGAATCTGTTAACATTGACGTTGTACAGGTGACAGTTCCTGAGACGGAAGATGACTTACATCTACTTGGTTTGAGCTTGCTTGATGTCCTATAACTGAGGAGTAAGTAATACCAGCTGTATTGAAAACCTTAACACTGCCAATGTTTACGTGTTTCTTTGATGTAGACCCAATCTATACTATTATATAAAAACCTAATGGTGTCTGTCTGTATGTGTATTACTAATAGGCTCAAAAACTACTGAACCGACTGGGCTTAAATTTTACAATAATATAGCTACCATACCAAGGACCATTATAGGACTATTCACACTTTGATACTGACCATGGGCTTTGCCCCTTTGGCTTTAAAACTTCTGAGGTGAGGATTTTAAAAGTAAATATTGATTTGTCTCCATGGCTGCGATGAGAACACTAATAATGTTTGTTTACATTTGCTTTGACATTTCAATTTAAACAAGAAGAACTGGTAAATTGCATATTTCACAATTTCAGACAGCTGATACAAAGAAATTGATTATAATATTTTCCATAACTATATATGATGTATATTTTAATCTTAAGTTTTATCATGGATTATTTATTCAAAAACTATGTCAATGATTATAAAAAAAGATTCTATAACCGTTGCTGTATCAACTCCGGCTCTGCTTTGGATTTTTTAAAGCGTCTTAAGTTATGAAAATAATGTTATTGGTTATTTCATGGAAACAGTATGAAAATTACAGTGTATAGATGGTTTGTATAAATTTGGAGGATTTTTTTATGAATTCCAACTGCTTAAAATGTGTTGGATAAACAACTTGAACTTCACATAGATTTTTTTATATTTAGGTAAATTTAGTAGTTGTGTTTCACTACACCACTGATTAAATCAAACTAAGGAAAATATCATAAAACTTAGCTGTACACAGTGTTCTTTTGTTTCTAAAATCAATAAAATATTTGTTATTATGTTTACTTAATGGTAAGTGTGAAAATGTAAAGGCAGTAGACTATGGAACTAAATAAAAGAACTGGATTCTATATTATGTTGTTCGTTGAATTTTTTTTTAGAGAAAAATAATAGATGCAATGAAACATATACCTAATGCCTATTACTATTAATGTTTTTGTCCTCTGATGTTTTGATAATAATTAGTTTTGTCTGCCATCTTAAACGCTCAATTTCATTTGTTAATTAAATAATATGTACTAAAGATATAAAACAAATGTGTTAAGAATGTGGATGGGTTTGTTTACTTTGGGGCAGAGCTGAATAGCAAAAACACTGTTGCACAAAAAATCACAAACTGAATCATGGCTGGTAACAGAGCATATTACGCTAACCTCAAATCCAATCTGATGACCCCCAAGACAAAGATGAAGGTATTCAAAACTCTAATTAGGTCTGTTGTTACGTACAGTGCAGAAACCTGGTCCCTTTCCACATTGAGCACAAAGGCCATTAGGGTTGAATTTTGTTTGTAAAAGCGTTGGCGGATGTGTATATTTTATACAACAGATTTTAAGATCAAAATGTTTCTATTTCAGGTCCTCTTCCCGTTGCAAAGCACGGGTACAAAAGCTAGTTACAACTATTTATTTCACTGGCAAATGGAAACTTGCTGGCCAACCCCCTTGAAATATTTTTAATTGCTGATCACCAATGTTCACTGTGTCAGTATCCGATAGAACCAAGCCAGACGCTACGTTTACTATATTTTGTGGGTGAGTTCTATAGTAGGTGCCAAAGGGTCAATGAAGAGCTTCAGTTTATTTCTTATTCCTTCTCTGTCTTTTCAATCAGAAATGATTTGAGACTGCATTTCTTCTTTGTGCGTGTCTTGTACACTGTACATTGTATACTAACTTCCTTAATCAGCTGGTAAGGAACACTACTGATAAAAGCTTGCTTCTTGTGGGATCAAATAAAACACTCCAAGTAGGTAAAATGAATAAAAATATTTGGCAAAATTCAAGATGGCAGCAATTTTAAAGAAACTACTATTTCTACATACTTTTGAGTGCTTTAAATGATCTCAGCATACTCAAAAACATATAAAATGATATACAGCAACCCTATATAACAAATATAATATTAATTTTAAAAATTGGCAAAATTCAAGATGGCGGCGATTGCTAACAAAAGACTATTCATTTCTACAAACTTTTGAGTGTGTTTATTAATCTCGGTGTACTCAAAAGTAAAATGATATAAAACAACCCTATATAACAAATATAAAATTAATTTAAAAAAAGGCAAAATTCAAGATGGCGGCGGTTTCTGAGACACAACTATTTTTTAGATACTTTGAAGTCCTCCCATTGATCTCATCGTACTTAAAAACATATAAAATGATATACAACAACCCTATAGACCAAATATAAAAATAATCCAAAAATATTTGGAAAAATTCAAGATGGCGCCCAAATCTCAAATTGCCCAAAGGTGACAGAATGTCATCATGCATTTTCTTGAAGTTTTAATGTCCTAGTAACTATCTATAAATAAAAAAATCCAAAAATTTTGGGTCGACCAAAAATATAGGGTTTGGCAACCGGACTATCAAAAATTACTTGTTATCGAGGGTCTTGTTATCAAGGTTCAACTGTGATAGAAAAAGGTCACAGTGCCAAAAGTCATTTAGAAAGTATTATACCCGGAATAAACTTATGTTTAAGGTAAAACTCTGCTTATGGCAAACGCACAATATTAAATATACTGAGGAGTACTAGCATAGGTCTTCACGAGCCTTTATCATGACTGAGACTGCCCCTTATTGCTCGGCTTCATCCTCTGATGGGTTATAGGGCGGACAGGTACAAAGTTCATTTTAGGCCCTGTAGCCCACTATACTATCGTTCTTAAAATGTCCCTTTTCCTGATTGATTGTATGAATCTAAACTAAGGCTCTTCTACCTTTTTAAAAATATTAATATTGATTTAATAAATAAACTTTACTTTATAACAGAAAGTTTTAGCTTTTATATCAAACAAAATAAAAGCGTTATAAGAACATTTTAGGTGAAGTGGTACCCATAACCTAATCTCACCGCACATTTTTGTAAATATTTCGCTTGATATTGAATATTTGTGATCTGCTCATTATTCCGGATAATTAGAGACCACATGACGTATTTTTATCAAAACATTTTAATCGTTTTCTTTGTTTTTCGGGGTTTTTCGCAGAAAAAGAATGTAATTTTCCGAATCAGTGTTGAATTTTGAGTAATTTTGAATAAAAAAAAACAAATGTAAAAAATCTGGTAAATACCCTAAAATGCATATTAACCCAAGCCCGAATTGTTTGAAGTAAAGAACAACTCAGACAAATACATGATTACAGTAAACTGATTAAAATGGTAAACCACAACATTTCAAAGACACAGGAGCAAAATTATCACCTCTCTATCCAAAAATGATTTTGGCAAACTCAAATTAGACATTTCAATGGAATCGACAAGGCCTTACATTGCTTTCAGAGTTTGCTCAGGTCATATTATCAAACCTGAAGGAAAAGTGAAAATAATAGTTTCTCACTGCAGAAGATTTGTCAAAGAGGAACTCCACATTGTTCCAACCGGACATGAAGCACTCTGGGGACGTCAATGGATAAGAGCACTTGGAATTGAACTGAAGAAATTGTTAACGAAATCTGTTAATGAATGGGAAACACGGATAATCTGTAAGCGAGCTAACTGGCCTGGTCAACATTAGATAGTAACAGACTTAAGTTTTATCCCTTGCTATAAGGAAGTTGCAACAGAAATTAAAAGACAATAAAATGACAAGCTATTGTAGGTATACTAACCTTTGCTCCGTGCCCATGTCATGACAGTTCGCCACACATCTATGTCCGAGGCCTTCAGAGACTTGAGTAGAACAATATACCTCATACCCGCTGGACACACCCGGTGTATATACGGGCTGTTGAGCACCCTCATTGGGTTGTTTTTGATCAACTGTTGTGAAAATAAATCACTGTAGCAAGTAAATAACAGTTTTTCTATCATAATAAGGTCATAAAGTAATCAATTGTATGTCAAATTTAGAAACCATAATTTGGGATTCAGAAGCATTGACCCATCCTCAGTAAAGTGAGCTTTACTTGAAGGATAGAACAAGTGATTTCCTTATTATACAGTAGAACCCCTGTTAACCGAATTTGGGTTAACAAAAACCCGGTTAACCAAAACGGTTCTATAAAATAATATAGGGCTGTAGAATGCTGTAATAACTTCATTTGTCTGGTTTAAAGTATTTACTATCCCATTGTTACATTTTTGTAGCTGAAATAAAACACTGAATTATATAGACACTAGTGGCTTGTAGGGACATAGGTCCCTAAAAAGCTCAAATGTAAAACAAATTATTGTAATATATAAACTCTGAATCAAATAACTATGTGTCAGGATAGATATCCCAGTACAACATATCTTTTGTGTGAAAAACAGTTTGTTGTTTGTCTTTGTTTGCTTTTGTTGATGTTGTTTTCAATAAATAATTTGAATGACTCCAGAGGTTTAACCCTGCTAAAGGCGGGGGAGCGAGCTGGTCTAGTGGTTAGAGAGCGGGACTCCGGTTCCTGGGGTCCCGGGTTCAAACCCCGCCCAATCACCAAAAGATTTTATCTAAGTGATATTACCGTAACCCCTAGGTCTAGCCTGAAGTAATGGGGAAAACAATTCTGGGTTCGTGCCTAGCGTCCTAGGGAAAAAAATAAAAAACCCTGCTAAAGACAGCAAACATTTTTGTGAATAAATATTGGTTTACTAAGGTAGATTTGGT